TGCCTCCGTTGTGCCCTGCTGTTGCAAACGATTCCACGTCACCGAATAAACTTTCACTGTTGAGCTACTGCTGCAGTTTTCATTCAGCAGGGTAAAGCTCCCCGACGACTGTGCTCCGAACCATCATTTTCATTTCTTATTTCCCCCCATTCTTCCAACAACTATTACTTTAAGCTTTAGTTTTAGCTTCAGACCGAAGTTCCTGCAGCACAGTCACCAGTACTGCAGAAACTTGAAGTAAACTAAAGCTTAAGGTAACTCTAAGAAACAGTGTTACAACTCTATTCCTAGTTTTTGCACAGTCCCAGAGTGGCGGGTGGACCCTCCTTTCCACCCCAGGAGGCCGTTCTGGATCTGTTTATGCCCGCTGCAGTCCTTTTTTTCGTGCTATTCTACGACCACACCATAACTGATTGGATTTGCTCGATTTTCGCAACGAGTGTAGCAACAGTGTACTGCTAAATTCCGGAGAAGATAAATTCATCGCCTGATGGGACACTTGTGTGTCACTTTACCGCACAGGGTGATGTCGACCGGACAGTCGAGGAGTAACGACGTGCGCTGTCCACTGCCGGTCACTTTAGGAGTCAGTCCTGAAAAGCTTGACCTGTTACAACTGTTGAACACTAGCTCAACAAAAATCGCCCATCAGTTACTTGATATGTTCCTCGACCGACACAAATGCGGTGAGGTGTTACCCAGTCATTTTTTTAAAAGCTAACACAACAGCATCCCTATCGAAGGAGAGGTATAAGCAGATTGTAGCAACCAGATCGACCATGGAAGCCTAACTGGCGAAGGCACGGCAAATTACAATGATATCCAGAAAAAAAGCGAGAGGAGCTGGCAAGAGTGCATAATGTTTTACCTCACAATTCTTTTCCGTGCTTCGAAGGCTGAAAATTCTTGTTCATGTGTTGCAGACTGGACAGAGAAAAGATTGCGAGCGGCGATGGACAACCAAACAAATTATAACGCCAGTGACCACGTATCAGAAAATGCTTTACTTGTAGCTTTAACGTGGAGGACACAAAGCAGGGAAATTTTCCACTCCCACAAATACAGAACAGCGGTTAGAGATGGCCAAAATCTCGAACAAGCAGTTTTCACACGATACTATACCATCGTAGATACACATTCGAAAAAGAACGCAAGCGCGCCATGCCACCGCCGTGCCAGTACCAAATCCATTGGTCCTATTGGTCAGCCCTGATCATCGGCCCGTTTCAATTGGTCAGCTGTGGTCAGTCGTTTTCACCGGTCCCACATTCCACGTTGTTGTTGAGCAAATTACCAAGCGCATATAGTTCAGACTGTGTTCCCAGCAAATATCCTCGATCCATGCATGCAACTCCTCTTCATGGTGTCCGGTCGCCGGCAGCATGACAACAACAGTATGCTCAATCGTTCCACACGAAAAAAATAATGTCAGCGATCCGCGTCACTCCAAACGTTGATGATGTAATGAAGCCCAAGGAACTTGAAGCCCCACAAGACATCAAGAATTCAGGCCGTCATGCGGCAAAATAAAATCAAAAAATCCGGAAAGGAAAGACAAAAATCCAGGATGTAGAGAACTGATATACTGTCCGAGAATGCGAGCACATAAATTATGAGAAAAGGAAGAGAGAAGAAAAAAAAAA